CCCATTTCAGATCTGTACCTGGAAATCAACTCCAGCACTAGCTTGTGGGAACACTATTGTGTTCAAGCCCTCGCCACTCACCCCGTTGACAGCTATCTTGATTGCTGAGATATTCACTGAAGCGGGACTTCCCAATGGAGCCTTAAACATTGTTCAGGGCGGAGCTAGTACTGGCCATTTGCTTTCATCACATCCGGATGTAGACAAGGTTTCATTTACTGGGTCGGTGCCCACTGGAAAGAAGGTGAGGATTAAATATATAGAAGCTCCTAATTTTATTTTACACTGGTGATTATTTTTCCGGTTAACCCACTTAAGCTCTGGTAAATTTTGCTGAGTAACATGTTTGAGCTGTTTTCTGGGCATTGTCTGGCTTAATTTAGTGTCAAAACTGCCCAAACTACTGCTTATGATGAGTCAAGCATTTAGCTTTTTTGACCATCTGTGCCTATAGATGCAAAGTGTTTTGCATGGGCATGCACAGAAAACACGATTTTGCTATAGTCTTTGGGTTTGAACTCCTCCCCCCCCCCTTTTCTTTCACTTTTCTATGCCCCATTTTTTGTTGTTGTTCTGTTTGGAATTTTCCAGGTGTCATTTTGGTACAAAAAGTTTTAGGAAATTTTTTAGGATTTGTAGGATTAGAGGGAAGAAAGTGTAGGAGGGTAGTGGAACAAGATTTTCATTGGAATTTTTGGGTCCAATTTTTATATTTTTTCCATTTTTCTCCAGTCTCCTTGACTGAATTATGCTTATTCTGGCATATTGTTTGAAATATCTCTTCCTCCTGCATGTCAAGTCAGATGACAAAGTTGTCCTTGACCATTAAAACTGATGATGTCACAAGTGGTACAAGGGATGTGGATTGGCATGGGTGGTTAGGGGTAGTTCAGGCAGTTCATGGGTTAAGTGTTAACAGGGCCGTCCTTAAAACAAAGCCTAAAGCAACTGGGTGAACATGTGAGATGGCTGGGTTCTGAACTCAAACCAAAGCTGTAGATTATGGCAGACAAAAAAGTCAACATTTATTTTCATTGTATCACTGCTTTCTCCTTAGGTCATGGCAGATGCATCCACAGGTATAAAACATGTCACACTTGAGCTGGGAGGAAAGTCTCCACTGCTTGTGTTTTCTGATGCTGACCTGGAAAATGCTGTTAAAGGAGCCATGATGGCAAACTTTCTTACTCAGGGAGAGGTATGTTTCTTATCCCTATGAGAGTCAAATCACATAAATTATAGTGGTAATGTTTGTGAGATTTCCTTTCTTATGTAAATTTTTATTTAAGTATATTTGTTACAGGTCAAAATGATATTCATAATTATATTTATATTTACTTGATGATGACAGGTCTGTTCTAATGGAACCCGAGTATTTGTGGAAAAGAGCATCTTAGATGATTTCCTCACAAAGTTGGTTGAGCGCACTAAAAAGATCCGAGTTGGAGATCCCATGAACCCAGATACTCAGATGGGTGCCCTGATCTCTGAGGAACATCTTCATAAGGTGTTGGAGTATGTGAGAATAGGACGTGAGCAGGTATGTGACCTTTGACAAAATTATTATTATTAGGGGGGTGGTTAAAACAAGTGCACTCAACAATTGCCCTAGTGGGGGAGGCTCACATTTTTTGGCCTAAATGGATACCGGTATGTGCTGCTGAACAGGGTATGTGTTTGTGTAGGTTGATGATGAGTGGTCTACATAATTATGTGGTACCAGCTTTTTTTTTCTAATTAAAACTAAGTTAGTAATGTAAGTTTGAAATATTACTTAATCCTGTATGCAACATGAAATGTATCAGGGTCATAAAATAACACCTCTTGCCTTTAACAAGGTAGCAAAATGAACCATTTTTGTCTTAAACAGGATCAGGGTTTGAAGGCCTCATCGGCACACCTCTACCCAAACTGCCCTTGAGTGCCCCTCCCATCCCCCCTCCAGGACAAGGAACCACCTTCTCTTGGGTTGATAGGGCTCTACAAGACACCATCCACTTAACAAGCCCTTAAAAATAGACGGAAATTGAAAGCTTACTTTGCCAGACAAACCGATCAGGGGGCACAAGTTATATCTTAGAGGTGTGTGTTTGCCTTTTAGGGTGCCAAGGTTCTTTGTGGAGGTGAACGTGTTAGACTTGATGACCACAGGCTGGCCAATGGGTTCTACATGTCACCCTGTGTCATGACTGACTGTACAGATGACATGACCGTTGTCAAGGAGGAGATATTTGGTCCTGTCATGACTGTACTGTCATTTGACTCTGAAGAAGAAGCCATAGCAAGAGCCAATGACACAGAGTTTGGGTTGTCTGCTGGGGTCTTTACCAGGTACATTATGTAGAACTTATATAGGTATTGTTGTGCGTCATATCAGTGAGAAACAAATGATGGCATGGAGAATTAACTCTGGAGTGATAATTTAAGTGCCATATTTACCTCCCAACCTTATCTGAGTCAAATGCGTGAGTTTTTCGTCTTGTCATGACCGGCATTTCCGAAACGTCCCCGCGACGTTCGCAGATTTCCGACGATTTGCCGAAGACTTCCGAACGTTGTCGAAAATGTCCGAAGATGTCCCGACGACCTTTGAGCATTTGCAAAGCTAAGTTATTATGAAGTTTTCGTTATTGTTTTGTATTTCAGTACTCTATAAAATTATAGACTTTATGTATCCTGATTTTGCAGAGATCTTGCTCGTGCCCATCGCGTTATCTCCAAGCTTCAAGCGGGGTCTTGCTGGATCAACAATTATAATATGACACCAGTCGAAGTGCCTTTTGGTGGTTATAAGATGTCGGGCGTTGGCCGAGAACTAGGTGAAGACACCATTGATTACTACACACAGGTCAAGTCAGTTTATGTTGAGATGGGGGATGTTGAGTCACCGTTTTAAAATGTGTCATGGTCGTGTTTATAAGAGTCAATGTGCCGTGAAATTGCGTATACAGCCCAACGATTAAGAAGAAATTACGCCTTGGATGGGTCGATTTAGTTTTTTAAGAGATATGATTTTAGACTTTTACCCAGCTAAGCAGCAGAGCATCGAGTAGTCTTGACATTACTGTTGATTCTCAGAAGACTTTATTGCCCACTACAAATCGCCTTCGCTTCCAATGGGAGTTGGTCTTTTATCTTTCTGGAAATACGAACGACTCTTATTCGTAAGAATTTTATCTGCATATTTGATATCGGGCCTGAAAAGTTAACGGGACTCTCGAGAAACGGGCCCTCGGTCATAACGTTAACCCCGAAATAAGAAGTAAAGTCGTGAATGCGTGCCCTCTCCATTTCTCATGTCATATAAGGACGTTCGAGGCTTGAATCGTAACAACTGAATGGCAATCAATCCTGTTTTAAAAAAATAAAATTTAAAAGCCAATTGGTTCGATACCCTAACCATGAAAAAATGGAAATATTGATAAACAATAGACCAATTCTGATATATTATACGTCATACTTGGCTGCGAAATGAAGAAGAAATGTATTGTTCATTGCTGAGTCTCAAGATTATTTCTTTTGTTTTATTCCCCAAGCCTCGGAGCCAAGTATGAATTTTAATATATCAAAAATGGTCTAAAGATGTGTTATTGCTTTCTGCGACTAATGAGGAAACACCTTGCAAGCAGCTCCTACATCACTGAAACAATTAGCCTCCCCGCAGACGTCCTTTGGGGTTCCTTCGTCACGCAAATATTTCTCCCTCACGGACCGTTACCGTGGGGGGATCGGAGAAATGAATGCGTGAACTGAATGCGTGAATGCGTGGTGAACGGACCCCAAAGGACGTCTGCGGGGAGGCTCTGAAACAATGAGGTCAAAACAATCATACTCTAAAGTCAGTTTTATTGCATACGCTCGTCAATACAAGTTCACTTTATCTTCCCAGAGAAACCACTTCGTGGGAATTAACGAGGATTGTCAAATTCAAGGAAATAATTTAGAATACATTTTATCGATCCTATATGAAAATAATTAAAAGCTTAACTTATCACTTTTTACATTGCATTTTCTTTTAACTTATTTCTAAACTTTGATGTTTTAAAAATATTTGATTTCAATGAATAAGGAGTCATTCAGTTTAGGGTTTACACTCACGGTGCGTTCGCTTGAGAAATCTGGATTTAGATTTTAAAATCCGGATTTCGGATTTCCAATCGAACGCGAAATCCAAAAACGGATTTCAATACTGAGATATCTGTCTATCCGTTCCATGAAGAGACACCCTTGGTTCGTCACCGTATGCTTATAGCTTGTCTTTACATTTTTGTGCTTATGGTAAACCGTTTGTGTTAATCTGCCGCTGACTTAGAAACTTGCCTGGTTCTAGCCTGCGTAGCAAGCGTTTCGCGCGAGTTCGTCGAGAAAGTTGAGACAAGAGCAAAAAAGAGGCTCCCGCTCTTACCGTAATTCGATTGGAAACGCTTGCTTGAAAAGCTTGCTACGCAGGCTAGCCTGGTTCTTGTTCATTCTCCATCTGTCACGGTAAGCGTGATCTACGCGTAAGATCCTGAGAAACGGTTGCGTTTTAGCAGGAAAACGGCAAACATCACGAACGCGCCCTCACCAAAGAGCAAGGAAAAATGTCTGAACGCTTATCCGTAAGAAACCTCAAGGATTCAGACAATTGACAACCTGGGGTACTTACCATTGACACGGGGAAACCTGAAATTCCGATTGGAAAATCAAATGGTTCGCGTTATTGCGTTTGGGAAGCTTCTAAAAATATGAGCGGTTAGTTTCAGTGAGGCGATGCAGTCTTTATAATCTCTCTAGTCTACTAACGATTCAGCTGATTTGGATATGCTTTGTAGCGAGTTCTTACACCTCAAGATCAAATTTAGTTGTTGGTTCGTGCAAAAGGACCCCTGGACTTCTTCAAGGCCGTTCTTAAAATTATGTTACGACGCTGTTTTTAACTAAAAGCCGCCTGTTATCGTTCTATTAAACATTTAAAAGAAAATATTGTAAAGAAAAGTCAAGCGCATTTGGGCTTGATACGATTCGCACTTTTTGACATTCCCTTTAATTTCTTGTTCTAAATAATTGTTAAAAATTATTTGTCTGTGTTACGTTTTCCGTGCCAAAACCCTTATTGCAAAAAGCAAGATCAGACGAAGTTGTTTTCTCCAGTGGATGTTGCTTCTTTTCGAGGTCGTTGAAATTCGTCAGTTTTAAAGTCATTCCAGGACTCTCTGGGGTGGGGTTAGGACAAGCTTCGTCTTTATGATGATCTGTATCACTGATGAAGCCAGCGAAGAAAAAGTAGCCCAGGCCCGCTCCGATTATAACGGAGATCCCAAGATAAACCTGATACGTCATCACCACCAGCATTAGTAGGTATCCCAGCGCCACATGCACAATGTGCAAGACTGTTTGTAGGAAGTGATGCGAGCTGCACATGGTGATCCTACAAAAAATGAACATGGTCAAGTCGGTGATCGGCAAGCCGGTTGTAAAAGGTTTGTTTATAGTGGAAAGTGTACTTAGCTCAGTATCCAGCTAGTTTACAGGCACTCCACTCAAATATTTCGAAACAAATAATTTAAATACAACATAACATGATTAAAAACCCCAACTGGCAGAAGGCAACCGGTTGACTATTTACAAGCGTGGCCGAGAATTTGAACTCGGGACGACCGAGCACAAATCCAGCAAGTGGCCAGAGCAGGACTCGAACCCAGGACCGCCGGATTGCGAGTCCGACTCGCTGACCACTCGGCCACCCTGCCTCCTGTTTGTACCCAGTCCTCGTTTCTTATCACTGCGACTCCTGACGTCACAGAGTTTCACTTACAAAGGTTTCTCTGTCTTGCTTATCTAGATTATTAAATACAGTGGAACCCCGTTAATATTAATACGGTCACTAATGGGCCAAAAAAAGAAAAATTGGCCGTATCACCGGGGCTGGCTCAAATTTCATGTCTTAAGGGCCGTAATAACAAATACACCGTACATCGAATTCAACGTACTGTTCTCATTCCTCGCGAAGCGCCGAGCCGCGAGGTTTATAATCTCGTCGCGCGCGAAGCGCGCGTGTATCACTCAAGCATCGCAAGGCCAGCATGATTTCCTCTTGGCTATAAATCTATCGAGTTTGGTTGGTGTCCGCCTTGACGTCATCCAGTAGTGACGTCAAAGTGCACTATGGGTTTCCAGGCAACCGANGCCGAGCCGCGAGGTTTATAATCTCGTCGCGCGCGAAGCGCGCGTGTATCACTCAAGCATCGCAAGGCCAGCATGATTTCCTCTTGGCTATAAATCTATCGAGTTTGGTTGGTGTCCGCCTTGACGTCATCCAGTAGTGACGTCAAAGTGCACTATGGGTTTCCAGGCAACCGAATTATAACAATGTTTACGGTCGGTGAGTCACCACCCAATATCTCAGGTAAATAAAACAGAAGAGCAAACTCAACAACGGTGGATTCAACAAGTGGCTGGAAATCCTCGCTGATCCACAGGAGATTAAGTACATCTCAGCTTCCAATATTAGATCCACCCTCCCCAGTTACATGATTTACTTCATTTCTCTCCTGTCCTCCCACCCCTTATGGGCCCCCCTCCGAGCTTCGCGAGGTTCTGCGATACACGTATTTCTAGTTAATAACTAACCGGAATGTAGATATCGCGAACAGTAATTGAAAAAACTACATAAAATTTTCCTTCAGTACATTAATTTCTTTTAAAATTTGGCTATAAATCGCCACAAGTGCTTTTTAAGTGTACTGTAGTCTAAAAACAGTAAGCTCAGATTACTAGGAGTGGCCGTATTAACGGCGTGAAATTATAAGAGATTCTACTGTTTGGCATTTTAAAGTGTGGCCGTTGGCCGCATAGCCTGCGAACAGCAGACGCATTTCCGGTCGTCGATTCTCTCCCTCCGGAGGGAGAGAAGCGACGACCGGAAATGCGTCTGCTGTTCGCAGGCTATTGGCCGCATTAAAGGTTTTTTTAAAAGGAAATGTATGACCGTTTTGAGTGTTACAACTTCCATAATACAGTTTAAAAAAAAAATATTTTTTTCTATATTAAAAAAGAGTTTTAGATTTACTCCAGCTTATCTTTGAACAAAAGAGGATCTCCTGCTTTGAAACTCTGTCCATTCTCACATCTCCATCTCCCATAATACACATTGTTTGCCCTCAAAAATGTTGCACAACCATTGTCTTATATTTCTATTGGGACGACTGTTATACCCAGTAGAAATAAAAAACAAAGGTTATGCAAAGTTTTAGGGGGCAAAGAAGGTTTATTATGGGAAATGTGTAAATGGCGAATGCAAAGTTTTCCCCAAGCCTTTCCAAAAGTCGAGGATTGCAAAAGCCGCTGTTACATTGATTTGGGTATCCGAACGTTTTGGGCATCCCCATTCCCAAAACCCTGGTAGTGATATGGACATCCCCTTCTCATATTACCTTAGCGATTTGGGTTAGGGTTAGGGTTAGGGTTACATGGGATGCCCATATCATTAGGGGTTTTGGGAATGGGGATGCCCATATCACTGTGACACAACACCATAAAAAAGAAATGGTATCATTACTTCTCTAGATGAAGGTTTGATAAGAATTCAACTTCGCTGAGGGGCGGGGGGTGGATATTAACTGGCTTACCAAAGGCTCTGACGAGATCCTGAAAACTGTACACCGTCAGTTCGTTTGGCCATAGTTTTGTGCCTGTCGGTAAGTTTGGCTCTTAAGATCTTCAGGCCTTCATACAAAATAGAAATGAAGAGCACTGCAATACACGAGCCAACCAACACTGTAACGGTGAAAAATATGAAATTAACCATATATTAGTAATAACCAAAGGTTACGGAGGGCGGGCGACAACGATCGAAGGTCAAAAATCTTTTGCTCCAACGCTGTGCTTTGCGTAAGTTTCACGCGTGATCAGATTACAAGTGATAGAAGGTCAAAATGCACGTGATCAAATTGCGTTAACATCTGCATTCCATTCATTCTTAGTGGAAGTCCAAACGAATGCTGAGACGAATGCTGGCTACATACATGCTACGCATGCGTAATAACAACCTGGAGATTAGGATTGCGGGCTCCTCTTGTCGCCCGCAATAAGGCCAATTTAAAGTGACCTTGGTCAAGTGATATAATTCTCTTTAGAAAAAATGGAAACCATTTGTCACGTACGTAGTCTACAGCCGTTTTTAGTGTCGTCACGCAACACCGTTTGTGGGGAGGAGCGTTGCGTGACGATACTAAAATGCTGTGTTGCAGACTATCATGTGCGTTGACTGGCCAAGAGGAATGTTTTCACCCAAATTATGCCTGTTTTCTAAGGAGGTGTTTACATGACACCGGGGCGACTTTGGCGCCGGAGAGAGTTCACTCAGGTTCCCTCCTATGGTTCTACATTTGTTTACATGATACCGCCACAAAATGTCATGCGAGGACGAGTTACCCCGGCGTGAGTTCACCCCGGTTGTTGTACCGGGGCGAGAATTTCACTCCGGTACGAAATCTCGCAACGGTATCGTGTAAACGCGAAACACGTTTCGGTGTGAAATCGGTCGGTAGACTGGAACGGGAAGCGCATGCGTAATGTTTGCAATTTTGAATCACGCGTGTATTTTATCAACATGAAGTGTACCTTCAAATACGCTCTTCTCACTTATGGTAATATGCCCGTCTAACCTCGTTTACGGGTAAAAATTCTTTTGAAATTCAAATACGAAAACGTCGTCTGATTAGCATTTCAAAGGACGTTTTACTCAAAAACGAGGTTAGACGGGCATATTACCATACGTGAGAAGAGCGTATAGCGAGATATGAAATGACCCAGTCATAATGTAAATGCGATATGAAATCAAAAAGTCATCCCAGTATGAAACTCGCGTCGGTGCGAGTTTTCTCATGTAAACACCCCCTAATGCCTTCTGCCGTACCGAATCAACTAATTTACAAAATAGTCATAAGAACTTGTTTACATGATTACCCACGTTGTTTTGAGCAGAATCAATCCGAATTTAAACACGTTCGGTCTGACTCAGCGAGGCTTAAGTAATAAGTAAAGACACCATTTAGAAATCCAGTACTGATTTTGGGCCAGTATTGGTCACTTTATATGACAATTGAGTGACATATGAATTATCATCTTGTACAGCCTATGTAGCAAGCGTTTCGGATCCATTTGTTAGGGTGCTTAAGTAACGACGACGACGACGAAAATAACGAATATTTCTCTCAAAAAGTGAATCTATCTCTCATGTTGTTCAGTTTGTTAAATAATGGTGAATTCGGACGTTTTTGCCGTAGTGGTTGTTGAAACTCCTCAATGCGAAAAGTCGACAAACTCGAGCAGAAACGCTTCTACGCAAGCTAGATTTACAGAGACCATGAAAGGCATCAAATTTATAAATTAAGATTATATAAAGGCATAATATTTTCTCTACCTTTTGTTGATGAGATATCCCATGGTTCAAACAGAAGATTGAGGTCACTTCTGAGATGAAACATCATCTGAAATTGATCGACGCAAATTAACTTTGTTATCGAGGTATTTTGTCCATTCACTGTGAACTAAACTAATATACCGCTTATATCTACTTTGTATTGGGCTGAAGAAACAACCAAAACCAGTGCAGTACATTTTACTGAACGTCATTTGAATTCATAGAGCCTTTTCAGTGATGAAAGCCAAGTGATACAACTGGCGTTAAATTTGTCATTTTGCGAAATGAATTTACGTAAAACAGTAACAAAGGCAATAAAAATATTTACAAAACCTAAAACATATGAAACTCATGATACTGCTTAAAAATTTCTAAAACGCTCTAACAATTAACATAGATGAGAAGTTTTTCAAAACACGTATACCCATTATATTGATGTATAAAAGAGTTGAAGTTGGGTCTTTTCACTATAGAATACCCATCCTCGTCCCCAGGGATCAAGTTTTCCCCTACCTAAAGCCCTAGGGATGAGGTTGTAGAGCACATTCCAGGGGAAGCCCAACGAATGTTTTCTGTAAAATATCTGTTCGGAGAAGCAAATATTGCTTAGAATTTTCTATTGCTTGAATACGGCTGAAAATTTCTTGATGAGCGTTCCATTCAGGTACAATTTTCGAAGCTTACCTAAAAAATTCCCTACGATTTTCTGAAGTTCAATTTTTCATATTTTAGTCCTTATGTTAGGCTAATTTTCGTAGAAAATAAAATCTAAAATTGTCTGATTAAAAAATTTCATGGAGAGAGGAATAAGAATTATTCTCACTTTCGTAAAAAGTTTCGGGAAAATAATACTAAAGCCCTTGTAAGTTCGAAAAGCCTCAAGTTCCCCTAGGATGACTGAACGGATACAAATTTTATAGCGCCGCTTAGAATGCATTTCTAGAGATCTAAAAGTACTCAAAATGGCCTAAAACGTCTTTTCAATGCATTTAGGAGGGAACCGTCGCTGGGTGCCCCTGACGTTCCTTAAGTAATGAATCAAGACCAAGTGAAGAGGCCCCAGAAAATTACCAAGCTCCTCACATCGCGTAGTTGCTACAAAACAACTCTCTTGTGGGAATTTTCTTCTTTTTATTGGGTATTCTAATTCTTCCGCTACACAAGTGTAACTAGTTGTTTTAGTGTAGGACCTTTTTTTGAAAAAGGAACTCCGGATTCATTCCCTAGTTTTGCCTGTCGCTATCGTCGCTGTCTGTTTTGTATGTAGACTGGGGGCGCAAGCATCGCCGGGAATTTTCTACAAATACCACACACACTACACACGTTGAATACTTCTGAAGAGTGGTGCCGACAATAACACCAGCTTCTGTTTTCAAAAATTTAAAGCTCTTTTTGGTAAACTAACAGAATATCGGTCATATCTTAAAAATTTCACCATTCAAAATTAAAACCTTAGCTTTAAAATATTTTGCTTAGAGTTGCATGCTTCTTTCTTTTGACGTATTGGTAGCTTACGTGTAGCCGCACCCTCCCCCCCGCCCGACAAAGGAAAAACGAAGAGAGGCGGGAGGGTGCGGCTAACACGTAGGCTAACCGTATTGGCCCAATTTCCAACTTTTCCACAACATGTTCATTGAAGTTACGACAGACTTCTTCAACAGGATTGGCTATTAGTACGCGCAATGTATTTGGACAGCACCAGTCATCGTATAAGTTATGTCGTTTGCTCTTAAGTCTCGACAAAGACTCCTTGCTATTTTTGTACATTTATATCGACATTAGTTGGAGTCTTAATATAGTGCCATAGTGATTTCTAATTCTGTTTGTAAATCGTGGTCTCCCACATTGCTCACTCGGACTCCACCCAGTCCGATTACCATTATAACATTACTGTTATCGGCCCTTTTCCTGAGAAGATGCGAAAAGTTATCAGGGCTAATCTCGAATTAAAATTTTTACACAGGATTGTATTTACTTTCCTTTTGATTGTTTTAGAGTACCATTCCGGGGCGTCATCGTGAACTCGAAGCGAAAGCTCAACAGTAGACAATTCTATCCCTACATTTTAATAGGCAAGACCCAAACTTATGGATTCTTTCGTTAGTTTCATTTTACATCATGATTCTCTACAATTTGGCTTAACAAAGCTTAATCTGAGCTTTCTATACTAATCTCATCCACCACTTTAGTCAATACTTCTGTTCATACAAATTTTTATTACCCTTTTTTTTCGATGCCATGACAGTTTTTTTTTGCCTAATAGTGGAAATTAAAATTCGAAGATAAGGCTCGCTCGATACTGTTTATCGTTACGTTTCCTATATCTAGACCTCATTTTTCAGCGTTTTGTACATCTCAAGCTTGAACGTTAATGAAGAGTCACCCCCAATGGGTCTCCAAATTGAGAGTGATTTCGTCTTTTATTGATCCTATTCATATCTTTTATTGTACATCTTTCGCCTTTCATGGATCACATTCATATTTTTAATTTATGTATTGACGCTAGTGTATTTTTTATCGTTTTTAGTGCATTTTTTAATTTTTATTATCCTATTAGCATTTTTTACTCGGCCTAATAAGCTGTATTGGCTCTAAAACCCACGTGTTTAAATAAAAGATTTGTTTTTCTCCCTTTATTTCTCTCCCTTTCGTGTGGTCGGCCGTGTGTTTCGGATACGTCATCGATATTATGTATGACCGTGAAGACCGACAAATACTGATATACTTGATAACCGAGATCCTTTTACTTACATGCGGTAGGTCAATATCAACACAACACAGAAATGTACCAAGCCGTCTTTGACTATACCGTTTGTAGATAGGTGAAATATCACTGAAAAGTACTGACGGGGAAAATGAAAAAATCGACCAACAAGAAACTTAGTGAAAGTAGAGCAAAACCTTTTTACGATTCGCTCTGACGTGACTAATGGTGATATGACGACAATTTTTATAGGTCAATGTTGGACGTTTTGGCTCAGTGTCATAACAAAAACTCGCAGAATCATTGCCCGGAAATGATATTACAAGTAGGGGTTATCCTATAGCCCTATCCAACAAACAAACAAACGGTAATGTATATCAACTGTTGTTACAGAGCTATGTATTTTTTAAGAAAAATACTTTTGTCAAAATTTTTCTTATTCTGAATCAAAACTTCCCTATACTTTCTGTTATTTTTCTGTAGAGTTTTTCATTTTGTTTCCAAGTTGTTTTAAAAGACAGTCAAGTTTTTTTAGATTACAACATTTCAGTTCTTTTCGTGCTATAAGATCCGCACGGAGGAATGCACATTAAATATCATCTATATTTATCCTTAATTATAATCAATGGCTCAGTAATCGCCTTTGTTTTCAAATTGCGTCATAGATTTATTCCAGGTTCATTTCCAGTTCATGTCACAAAAACAGAACAGTATACTGGCTTTTAAGTCCTTGAGTTCCCTGCCAAAAAAACCTCATTTTTCTGTGGGGGTGTCTTTCGACTGTATTATTTAGATCACAGCTGTACGTTGGTCGAAGATAAGGCAATTAGGGTTGAATTTGTCGACTAAGTTAATTGATGGTTAATACTGTTGCGTGCAAAGAGAACATATAAATCACAAGAGTAATAAACCTATAGATAACACAGATAGCACGTGAAAGAATGTGGTTATTATCAAAAAGTACTCCCTCAAAGAGAGCCTTAAACATCCCATTTTGTTTACAATGGCGTGACTGCTTGTTCAATTGTTTTTAAAACTTTCTTTTTTACCATGGATAATTTAAATGATCTCACAAATAATAAAAAAAGTACTTAGCCATTCCCAATGGCAATAAATATTCTAGCAAATTTGCGTACCCGAATGATTTAATAAGTGATTAAAAAAAAAAGTGAAATGAGAGTCCAATGTTGGCTGTTTAGTGGAAGTAGCGATCTAAGTGCATTGTATGCTCTGCTTTTCGAAATTTCGAAAAAAAAGGGAATCCTTGAAAATTCGAAACTTTTCTCACACGAATCAATAACAAACTCAGTGTGTAGATTGCATAAATGAGTAAACTTTTAGTTTATCTTCTGATGGTTTAGGTCATACTTATTGAGTACAGAATGCAGGCCAAAATGCCTTCTCCGCTGTTGCTACGATGGTAAATACGCTTTCAGTGCGCAGTTTCAGTGCTTTCAGATCAGTGCGGTTTTTATCTTTGCCCCTGCTGGGGTACCGTGTGTGGACTATGTTAGCAACGTTACTCTTTTCTTCATCAAAACAGTACTGTATTTCTAGTCGGAAGCAAGTAAACTCGATAGCTCTCTTACCGCATGCCCCCCCTCCATGTCGTGGTTCATCTGGCTAGTGGTTTCATGTGATGCCATGTTGGAATGTTCGTTCATTTCCCCATGCGAGTGCCCACTGTGATCGTGAGAGTGCCCACTGGGAGACATTTTCGCTAAATTCCAGGACTAAGTTTCGCTTGCTGTCACAAACTAGTAGGAGGCTCGAGCTATGTGTAACTTGAGCTTTTTAACAAGACACTCACTGATCTTTGCGATACCGTGAACAACAAGGAGACGTACACTAAATAGGTATCACATGCATTAGTATTTCCATTTATGAAGACAACTTTGATATTGACCTCGTGTTTTAACGGGACCTTTATCGTCAGACAGATGACGTAAGGCTTCAACGAATTGACATTGGTTGAGGTCACGCTAGAGACTTTATTATGGTAAAAAGGGCTTTACTATGGTAAGTCTCGTAACGTCTTCTTTACCGTAGTAAACCTGACAGGTCCACTTAAAAAGGCATTTGAAACTTTCCAGGCGTTTTTTCTCGCGTAATCGGTAACGTGAGAGTGAAAAGTAAAACAAATGCTGACATGCTATGAGAGCTGACTAAATTGAAATTACTGAACTGTAACTTCATGAGCGTGACCCTCACAAGTGTACAAAGATGGTTCAATGTGAGAGAGTATTGTTTTCTGTTGTGAGCATTTTGCTTTTAATTCTGCTGCTCAGACGAGCAAGAAGAATGCGCTCCCTTATTACCTACCCTGGTTTCGAATACGAAGTTAGTGAAGATGCTTTAGTGACAGGTTCATTGATTACCCATCGAAGACGTACTCTTAGAGAAAGAGCGGCATTGCAAAGGCAAGCGTGGGTTTACCGTCGACCCCAAGATCAAGAATGGTTTGAAGAAATGTACAGAAACAGAAACCTTGAAACACTGTGGAAAAAGCAATCACCGATGTTCTAAAGCTATTCTGTTATGTGACTCTTTTTGAAACTACTTTCCTCAAAAATCATGACAAACTGTCAACAAAACAAACAAAGTTTAGATAGACTAGAGATATACCCACCTATTTTTTTTGGTAACCAGATGGTTATCGGTGATGGGTCATCTTTGTTCTTTCCGCGGTAGTCATGGAAATTAACCAGGGTAGAGTTTACCATAGTAAACTGAAAAATGCCGGTCACACTTACGGCGCCGTTTACTATGGTAAACTTGAGTTTACTATAGTAAACTTTCTCTAGTGTGACCTCAACCATTGTCTTGTGTTGTTTTGATTAGTTGTTGGTCCATATTGAAGGTAAGCCTGTGGCGAGTTGGTTAAAGGTGATACGTGATGTATCCCGACAATGCAGCACGTATTCCACCGGGCAAAAAAATTCAAAGGTTAACCAGAAAAAGACAACACTACTATTTTAACGTATCCGTATTCCTTTTTATTATTTTCAGTAATTGAAGGCACCTGTAGTATTGCACTTTGAATAGTCTGTTTGCCCTTTAAAGCCAATACTCACTGACTCTTCCTTTCTTTTAACCAAGAGTTTATCAGATAGCTTTATGTGTCTGCACGGCCCGAGACTGGAACAAGTCGTTCACACACATGTGTACATCGAATATCTTACCGGAGCTGTTGGCCGAGAAGGTTTAGTGCGTGATATCTGAATCCCCACTCCTAAAGATTTACTTCCGTGTCAGTGGGTTCCAGTCCTCTTTCGTACTTATTCATTTCCGCTACTGTTCGAATACCAGTTCACAATGCACCAAAATAGAGACCTGCAGAATCTAAGACGAGAACGACTACAAGTACGAGATTTAACTTGAAGTTTTTTGGCGTATTCTCAAATAAAAGACACCCCGGGTAGCTTCACTGTACATCTTTTTCACCAAAAAAAATTAGCACTGTTATCTTTATTGAAAGAGGTTAAGCTATCTCCCAGCCGCAGAATAATAAAACCTATAACACTTTATAACTTGTGTCCGCTAACACGACATTCTCGCTAAAACTCGTAGTAGAATGACGCCTACTATCACGTTTTCCTGCCAAAATAAAAGGTCTCTAATATGGAGATCGGCGCGGAGCAGCTTCGCTCCGTTACAAAATTGGATATTATTTGTTATTATTTGGTTATAATATTTGCGCATGTCCACTCCAATTTATGACCACCAAGTAAAGTCGATTCTGATTGAATGTCCCTCTAAAAACAAGTTCCACACTTGTCAACAGGTGCGCAAAGTCTGGGGTGACCCTATGGCAACTACCAGCCCAGCAATTTCAGCTTCCTTGGTACTCGAAGAAATCCGTTTTTTTCGCACGCTGTGGCCTTCTTCTTTTTACTTGAATTATGGCTCCTATACTTTGAAACCTAGGACATAAATCCCTTCTGGGTTGTTGGCATTTGTGGTTTCTTGATGTCTCTCTTCATCAAGCCGGTTCCGAATTTAAATTTCCTGTGAGAAACAGGTGAAAGAGACAGTTCAATAGAGTGCGCTTGAATCTGTCAATATTAATTTATAAAATTCATCTGATGCCGTGTGAATTTGCCTTAGACCACGGGTCCCATTGATAACGAATTATTGAAAATAATGATTTTAACCTGCTTCTTGGTTTGTCTTCTAATCTAAGCATTGCTTTTCTGTTATAATGATACAGTTTTAGTATTGATCCAGGTATAATGGGAGCTGTATCGTTCAACAGGTATACGTTGGGATACACTAGGGTGATGATTTTAAGACCAAAAGCTTTCTCACCCATTTGTTCGTTTGTAGAGCTTGAGTAACTAGATAGTCTATACAGGCAATGTTGCACGACACAACAGGCTGCCAAGAACACTACACAGCAACAAAATACTACTTGGAGAGACAAATCCTGATAAAAAAAGTAAAATAGTAAATAATCAGAAATAGAAATAAATTAATTAACCTCCTTCAATAAGACAATATTTTGAACCCTGGAAGTATCTCTGGAGTATCGAGTTTGCTAACTCATCAAGCATTGCACCAGTCGTATTAAAAAGTTTATTTATTTTTTGTCAGAAAATATTATCCTTGGTAGTAATAATGATGAGGTGGAAGTATCGCTGACGTCGAAAGACATTAGGGAGTTTACGCAACGGCGACGACGACGACGACCCCAACGAGAACGGCACAAAAGCAATAGGTTTAGACAAGGAAAACAACAACTTTGCACGTGCATCACGCTTTTTTGTACATTTAACTGCAGTCGTTGCACGACTGCGACGTGAAACTGCCTATTTTCACGTTTTCTCGAGGACGGGAACAAAAGACAACAATTTTCTTTTTCTTTTCCTGAACTTTGAAGTAGTCCTTTAGAATTCAACTCCAGAAAAATTGCCTAGATTTGACGAATTAAACGAGATGGAATAAGCGCGATAAAGTTTGAGGCGGCGCAAATTCAATTTTTAAGGGGGCAGTCTGGTTAAAAGCATATTTCGTTGATTTCCACCCTTTCTCTTAGATATCTAGCCAAGATTTCATTCGATTCAATCAAGTTACAGTCCTTAGTTCAATAACTGTTTATGAATTTTTGAATGATTTTTTTAAATGTTTTTGATGTGTAAAATTTAGGAGGAGGGGGGAGATGTTTGAAATTTGGAGAAAAAGGGAAAATATTGGATTTGGGGGTTGTTAAAAATGGAAATATGAAGTGAATAATGAGTAGACAATTACCAGATAGTCAGCCACCACAACAAGGTGCCTCTGATCCCATTAGCGGACTTACTGGTTTATGTGTATACCCATTCTAGCCTCATATATTTCCTTCCCAAATCAACATCATTTCCCCCAAATTTTAACCAGACTCCCCCCTTAAGTGACGTTTTCGTAAACGTCGCCGTCGTCGTTGCGTAAACTCCCGATTGTTAAGGTCAGGAAAAAGTGGCCGTTATTACGACCGGAGTGCATGGTTGTTTGTTGAGATCCTATTGAATA